GTCGACATTTAAAAGTTCCTCAAAATATTCCCGCCATCTACCCAATACTTCCATCTCCCCATCTACTAACTCCCCTACTCTGTTTTTAACTGAGAAATCCATTTGTTTCCTAGGCTTTCTTAACTTGTTTCTCATTCCAAATTTTTTCTTATTCTCATCAAAATTTCTTGACAGTGCCTCTCCCACTCTATCATCTGCTCTTCTTTTACACTCAACAGACTTATTCCCCTATAATTTTTGCACTCTCTTTTATCCCCTTTGCCTTTATACAAAGGAAACTATGCATGCTCTCTGCCAATCCCTAGGTACCTTACCCTCTTCCATACATTTATTAAATAAGAGCACCAACCACTCCAAAACTATATCCCCACCTGCTTTTAACAGTTCTATCTTTATCCCATCAATCCCAGCTGCTTTACCCCCTTTCATTCTACCCACTGCCTCACGAACTTCCTCCACACTCACAACTGGCTCTTCCTCACTCCTACAAGATGTTATTCCTCCTTGCCCTATACGCGAAATCACAGCTTACCTATCTTTATCAACATTTAACAATTCCTCAAATATTCCCTCCATCTTCCCGATACCTCTAAACTCTCCATTTAATAGCTCTCCTCTCCTATTTTTAACTGTGAAATCCATTGTTCCTCAGGCTTCCTCAACTTATTAATCTCACTCCAAAACTTTTTCTTGTTTTCAACAAAATTTGTTGATAACATCTCACTCGCTCTCATTTGCTCTCTTTTTACATTGCTTCACCAGTCTCTTAACCTCTCTTTTTCTCTCCATATACTCTTCCCTCCTTGCATCACTTCTACTTTGTAAAAACCTCTCGTATGCTAACTTTTTCTCCCTTACTACTCTCTTTACATCATCATTCCACCAATCGCTCTTCTTTCCTCCCAGTACTACATGCTTATACACAAATGCAGTACACTTTTTATTTTATTTTATTAACACATCAGCCATTTCCCATTGAGGCAGGGTAACCGGAAAAAGAAAAAAAAACTT